GACAGAATAATAATGCAGGATTACTCAAACATGTGTGAAGGAAACAAAACACAACTCCAGCAATGTTTTGGTTTTGGGGAGGAGGGAGTGGGGGGAGTGCCACAAACCGAAGCAGCCGTGGACTTGGAGTTAAATTGGGAAGACTGGGCGCTGATTGGACGAGGAGGAGGTGTGGTGAGCGATAAGGAGGAGTATTTAGAGTGAGGGATGAAGGCTGAGGAGCAGGTAAACTCTGGAGAAGCGGGGAGGTAGACTGGAGCGAAATTAGGTCTTCCAGGCAGAATTTACACTAGCTCCATTTCTATCAATACCTCTACTATTACTACTACTACCCAAAAAGTAGGTTATCAGTTTCTATTAGATTTCTTTTATCGCACTAGAGTTAGTTTTTGCTGTAAATAATTCTGTCCAGAGGTTGCTTAAAGGTCAAAAACATCACTTCAGTTTCAGATGCTGTTCTCACCTGGGGCCTTCAAAAGCTTTGGAGCCAACAGTGCAATGTAAAGCTGTTAATGAACCACTAAAACAAACAAACTCTCACTTTTAAATATTGCGTCAGAGTCGACCGCTGGGAACAGGCTGTGAAAAGACTCTTGTTTATGGAAAGTTTGGCTCTAAAGTGTAAAGTTAAGGCCAGGTGTAATTTTAACTGGTGTACATAAACACAGTGGGGGAAGTTGGTGTTTTGGGAGGAGAATCTTGCACAAAATGCCACTTTTAATGATTGGAAAGTGGGTTTTGGATGTGAAGTTGTAGCCTTGTATAACTGATAGCCTGTACAATGTCTTCCATAGAGCTCTAGAGATGTCAAAATTGTTCCATTAATCAATAATCATGAGTATTCAGGTCACAATATAGTCTTAAGCAGGGGAGTTTACAGGGAAGGACAAAGGGGTCTGTTGTCCCGGGCTTTACGGAGTCTTACGGGGGCCAGAGTTGGACCCTTTTCCTATTAATTTATATTGAAGGGGGTCCCATGTGACTCTTCTTACCACAGCCCGCTAAATTTCTGTCGACGGACCTGCTCGTAAGCACTACAATATTTTAAAAGACCATTTTAGAAGCAAAATTAAGTCAATTTCAATTCCATCTTTACTCCAAAAACATAACCCTGAATGTATTGTGTATTTTTATGTGGCTATTTACTGGTGACACTTTATAATAACAACACCTGAATTAGCCTTACAATAACATAAACAAAGACAGTCATGGGTTCATAATGAGGAAAATAATTTATTAATACTTACTAACTACTAAACAGTTAGAGTAATAATTAAAAGGTCCATATTACATTATTTTCTGATCTATGTTGTTTCCCCATCACAAACGGACCTGGAGTTGTGTTTTGTTTCATTCACACAAGTTTAACACAAATCCTGCATATTTAGTCAGAGCTCTTCTCTCAAACAGAAAACACTCTGTTCTACCTTGTGATGTCATTTGGTAATACAGGAAGTGCTCCACTGTGTTTTTAAACTCCCAACACCTTCACTAGAATCATTTGGATGATTTCAGCCCTGGAAATGCTCATCTCTGCTGAGCTAAAGATAACCTGTAGCTGTTAACTTGAAAACTACCACTACATGACATCACAAGGTGGAACAGAGGATTTTAAGCTTTAGAGATGTAGACAGACTAATAATAAAGGATTATTCAAACATGTGTAAATGAAACAAAACACAACAACAGGTATGTTTTTGAGGAGATACCGTATTTTTCGGACTATAAGTCGCAGTTTTTTTCATGGATGGTCCTGTGACTTATGTATTACAATTTTCACACCTCACAGCCGCGAGAGGGCGCTGTAGGCTCGTGTGCCAGTATCTACTACTCCTGTTACTCCTGTACCACTGTCACTTCAATCTACTGCGCATGTCTACTGCAGAAAGAGTCACTGTCCTGCAGCAAATAGTGAAATATGTAGCTGAGAACGGTAATCGAGCAGCAGGAAGAAAGTTTGGAGTGAGCAAGAAACTTATGAAAACCAGGAGGGTGCGTCATCTAACTTTCCTGGAAGTCATTGGATGGATCGACAAAGTCTGGACTTCAACTGAAACCATCCTGTCGGGATTCAGAAAGCTCTGTTTACCTCTGGAGGTCACGGAGTTGCTCAGAAGTGACACCGAGGATGAAGAATTCAATGGATTTAGTGATCTGGAGTGAGTGGAGTTGGTAAACTTGTTCTGTTCTGTTGTTTATGTTATAGTTTATCTGAAGAAAGGTTCATATGTGACGTTAACAGTCTGTTGTTCTCTGTTCTATTGTTTTTACTATAACTTGACTTTCAAGATAAAATGCCGGTTCCTGGTCTCTTATTTTATAAACTAAATTTCCCCCAAAAAGTGTGACTCATACTCCGGTGTGACTTATATATGTTGTATCTTCTTCATTACACATTTTTTGGCTGGTGCGATTTATACTCCGAAGCAACTTATAGTCTGAAAAAAACGGTAACATATGTAGGTAATATAAGACCTTTAAATTCCTGTCTTTGCCCCTACCTATGCACCTAGCTTTATCTCTCAAAAAACGGATGTGATTGCTTTAGACCTTTCTCCTAAATCCAACTAATTCTCTTATTTACCTTGACATAATCGTTAACACCAAAACACAAGTGAACAGATGGGCTTGTCCTCTTCTTGTTGTTTGTGTCTGTAGTGGAGTATTATGGGATGCAGGTCAGATAAAACCAGTACGATACAAAGACCCCGTTGTGATGGAAACCTGTTCAGGGACTAAAATAGCACCAAAAGACAACTGGAGGTTATCAGGAGACTGCAGTGAAAGAGGGGCGTATAAATCACTATAGGACCTTTGACATAGGCTTTTTATTACAGAGACACGTAATGTGAGCTGTGGAGTGGACTGGGAGAACTGCTAGAAATAGATAAGTCTATTCTGGTAATGTGATATTTTAAAGGTCCTATATTACTCAAAATTGACTCTTGTGTGCTTTGAGCCATGTTGAAATACTTGAAGTTGTGTTTTGTTTAAGTAATCCTGCATTATTAGTCTGTCTGCATTTCCAAAGCTCTAAATGATCAATTTAGTGGTAGTAGTGGTAGTTTTCATATTACTAGCTACCTTTTTACTTTTAATTCTGTAAAGATTGGTAATTCCAGGTCTGAAATTATCCAAATGATTCTAGTAAAGTTTTACCACATGACATCACAAGGTGGAACAGATTGTTTTCTGTTTCAGAGAAAAACTCTGCCTAAATATTCAGGGTTTGTGTGTTTAATGAAAGAAAACACAACTCCAGGTCTGTTTTTGATGAGGAAACAACATTATAACAGATATGAAAACAGCAGAATATAAAATGGAGAAATTAACATACACTCTAAGACTACAAAGGGAAAAATTCTATAAGTTTTGGGAAAAATTAATCCAGTTTGTATTCCTTTTTCTGGCTGATTTTGATTGACTTTTTGTAAATATACCAGGTAATGGGGTATGGATCCCCTGACTTCACCATTCTCACTGAATTTGTTTCTTGGAGGGTTGAAATGTCTGGTAAATGCTTCCAAGTTGGCCACCTCACATTGTTGTTAGTTGTTTGCTTTTTTTAAATCAGAAAAGGAATCTGATCTTTCTGAAATATCACAGAATGTAAAGATGCAAACCTTTTCACAATAAAAACATAAATGAAAACAGCAGAATATGTGTTTTGGCTTTTTTTTTTTTTTATGTTGGGAGAGTACTGTGGCAGAGTGGTTGATGTTTTCCAGAAGATGTCATTACCCCTAAAGTTATACTCAGAGTAATCAGTCTAAAACTAGTTGTGTATATGTAGTAGGGATGCAACGATATCCAAATCTCTCGGTACGATATTTTCGCGATATTTTAGAGAGGGTTATATAATTGTAGATAGGACACTTTTTTGCTTTTAAAATACCTTGACAAGATTTATTTATGAATTATTTCCATCCCAAAAGAAGAATTCAAGTAAAAAACATATTTCTTCATGTTGTTTGCACTGAAATGAATCATGGGATATGTAGTTCCTGATGTTCATAAGCTGTTGCTACTGTAAAACCATGCATTTAAGCAAAGAGACTTGTAATTCGATATATTGTGATGGTCCACGATATTATTGTGAGACTTTTGACAATACGATATCACGATATTTCGGTTATCGTTACATCCCTAATATGTAGTAGTATATGTCTTGGTTTTTAGTTCTTATGTATTTATTTGACAGGGATCAAACATAAACTGTATCAAAACAAATATGTCTGCTTATAAGGAAAAAAAGAAAGTAAAAATATCACAAAGATTGGCGGTTTTATTCCAGCCGCCTCAGATGAAAACCTAACCCTTAACCCTGATCTAAATGTGGACTACAACAGAACTAAAGCAGGTCTATACACAGCAAAAAGTATAGTGTTAAAATTGACTCTCACAGAATCAATTTTAACATTTTTTCAGAGTTTATATGAGTCCAATCTGTTCTAGAGTTCATTTAACATTTTTGGAAATGTTAATTAAGTAATACTGGACCAAAGTTCCTGTTTAACCCCGGAAGCCAGAGTTATTTTCACGTTTTGAGAGTAAACGGAAAACACTTTGTAGAGTTATCCTGATTTAGCTAAACAACACACAGAGGTGTTTTATTTTATTTTTACTTTATTTTAGTTCATTTAAGATGAAATTATGTACAAAACTGGTTCAAACTGGTCTTCTCTCACAAGAGTTGGAAGTGAATGGGAGGAGCCAAATTAACACTAAGAATTAGCACTAGAGGAAGTTGAATTAACCTCAACCACATCAACTCTGGCAAATAACCCCAAATGGAACCCCCATTTAACTTTCAAATAGTTAAAATAACACTCTTGGTGTTAAAAAAAACTCAGAAATATTTTACCCTAAAATTTTAACCCTCCAGTTTTTGCTGTGTATCAGGACAAAACATGAGCCCAAAAAAATAACACAAACGAGTCGATTTAGTTTTGCAATTGATCATTTTTATCTTTATTTTTTTTATTTTCTCAAGTGCGATCATAAAAAGCCTCCATGCTTACACCAGAGACTAAACCTTAAATACTAAAAGTTGATCTAGAGATGTTTGATTGGTAGATAGTAGTCAATAACAACGGTGTTTAAATACATGCACTCATCAGATATTTACAAAGCATCCATTTAAAACAGCTCCTTGAAAAATAATGTACAAAAAATAAAAACATGTCATTAAGTTATTTTAGTCACTTACAGTCATAACAGTCCCATGTCTTTCGATTCAGTGTCAGGTATAATATTTGACTTTAGCTAATTATAACTTTTCTTTCAATTTCTAATCTTAAAAAAATATTAGAAAGCCACTATAATATTACAAACAAAACATTTATATTGGCACAATTAGAAAATTTGATTTAAAGGTGCTCTATGTAACTTTTCTGATGAAGTTTTCTATTATTACTGTTGACAGGGTTGCCTCTCCACAGATCTGACCTGTAACTCCAATGAGTTTAATGCCATACTTTAAATCACTACAGGTAAAGCAACAACATCTCCATGGCCGTGGGAGATGAAGTACACAATTTTGTTGCTTAAGTATAAGTGCAGATACAGGGGCAAAAGGTTACTCGAGTAAAAGTAAAACTATCACAGGAAAAATTTATGTATTTAAGTATTTAAGTACCTGTTTAAAAATATACTTTAAGAGTAAAAAGTACAAGTATTTTGTTGAGATTTCTAGAACTATCAAAGCATGAAGGCCCATCCACACTAGTACGTATTCGAGTTGTTTTCATTGTGCATGCAGTGTTCGTCCACACTAATCCGATGGAAAATGGTTCTAGAGACGGAAGGATCTGGTACCGGTAACTCCCACAAAACGTTGATATACTGACATAGGAGCTCTAGTTGAGTCCTTATTGGACCACATCACTGGAACTTGTGCCTTCCTGATTCGCTGATTTTGTGATATCGGCCATGTGACACTATTGCGGAAAACAGTTTAAACAAACCAGGACAAACGGGAAACAGTGGAGCTAGAACTACTTAATCATCCTCGGCTCGAAATCAGCTGCTGCAACTTCAGACACGGTGCTAGACTTCCTTGTTTTTACCACCCACGTGACAGCGTAACGATTCAATTGATTCAATGGATTTCTTAATTTTTTTCTAGCTGTTTTTGTTTGATTGATTTGGTTTGCTCAGAGTTGGGATGTTAACTCAAAGTAAATGTGCTAAAAATAAATCTCAGAATAAATTTCAGCAGGTCTCACACTGTAAAGAAAAATATTCTTTTCAGTCCAGATCTAAAATGTAGTAGAGGATAAAGTAAAGGAAGCTGCTCTCAAATATAGTGAAGTAAAAGTATAAAATATCCACTGTAAAAATACTTAAGTAAAGTACAGATACCTAAAATTGTACTCAAGTATTGTACTTTTATTTTTTTGCTTCATTACTTTCAAACACTGCTTCATGGAGACAAGCAGGCAGCCTCCATCACAACATTTACATAGAGCACCTTTAAAGTACAAGTAGGAAAAATCCTGTTGAAATATTCCTCTTCCTTTTCACTCAGACAAAGAGTTTCCTATATTTAAAAAAAGCATTGGTTATTTTTATGTTTTTGATAATACAAGAAGCAAAATTGCCCCAAACGGACACATAAAGTGATCTGATTGAAACCTTATATATTATTTACTGTACAGAATTGTGGGCTGCTTGTTTTAGAGTTTGAGCATAGACTGTATATATATAAATGGACATCGCTAAAGCGTTCCCCACTGCGTTAAAAATAGGAAGTGAGCATGGGTACGCTTCCGGCTCCATCGACTCTGGCTCCAATTGACTTTGTACTGAGAAACCGTTACCCCTCTCTCCGTAACTGCTGCTGCCAGGCTCCTCATTTTGGTCTTAAAATGTTCATATTAAGGCCACTCTATTTGCTATTTTGTCTATAAGTCAATACCTATTCCTTATATGGAACTACACTCCAAATTCCCCCCATAACTGCAGCTTCTGTGAGCTTCATTTGACTGGAGCCGAACACTCTGGGTGACGTCACATTCACTTAGTCCACTTCTTTATACAGTCTATGAGTTTGAGGCAGCAAATTAAGACAATGAAGGGCCAACGTAGTCTTCTGTTTTACATATTGTGAAACAATAAGAATAACATTTTTTACTTCTTTTCACGTAGCAACCGTTTTTCTTCAGTGTCGTCAGCTTCCTTCATTTGTCCATGAATTAACAAAGTCTTAGTAGTAGCGTCAACTCAGTGCATTGAATCCCGTTAACAACATAAATAACATATGCTGTATTCGGGGCATAATCCAGCCGTCAGTAGTCGTCCCAAAAAATGTAAAATATATAAATACGTGAGGAAAATATAGGGTTTTAAGATTAAAGTTTACCACTGGGTCGTCCTGTGTAGACCATTTCCCTGTAAGAAAAATAAATACATGTTATTCTTTCAGTGATGACGAGTTTTTGTGAGTGATATCACCTAGAAAACTAAAATATCATGACCCAAATGTCCCAGAATCAAGCAAGAAGATAAAGAAATTTTAGCTGAAATTGGAAGTGAAATAGTTAATAGTCCATGGCGATGTTATTGCTTTGTCTGGAATGTTTCACAGTATTAAACCTTTTTATTTTCACAGAGACCAAACCAGACCAAGTTACAATCAGATCTGTGGAGAGGCGACCCCGCTCACAGTCAGAACGCCTGATTTTCTAGGTGTTTTTAAGCTATAAAACCACCTGTAATTGAATAAATTTAAGGCAGAGCTTTTTAATGTCATACTGCGGAACATTCCAGGCAGAGCAATGACATATCCATAGAAAAAAGCAGCTGACAGACCTCTAACCAAAAAGTTCCATAGTGCACCTTTAAATATTTATTCATTTTAGCATGACTTGGCGAAAAAACAAACACATAAAGACAAAATTGGACAGGAAGTAGTGACGCTAACAGTGAGGTTGCTAGGCGCTGCTGTGTACAGAGCTGGATTGCGTAGATTGTGGCAGTGGAAAAAGTGGAAATCATTAGATAAAAGAGAGAGAGTTTTTCTATTGTGACGTACGCTGGTGCCATTGGTGTGTGTGTGGGCTGTGGTGGTCCCGTTGGCCGCCTGAGTGGAGGGAGTGCTCTGTCCGCTGCTGCCTGCAGAGGGCGCTATGGCTCGGGGAATAGCTTCTGGCGCGCGCTGTGTGGAGTTTATTAATGCATTTGGTCATTTGTCAGAAGTGGATGGATATGGGATTGTTCATACTTCCTGTGGTATACGTATGAATATCTTTAAAGGTCCAATATTACACAAAATTGATTCTTGTGAGCTTTAATCCATGTTATAATGTTGTTACCTCCTCAAAAACATACCTGGAGTTGTGTTTTGATTCATTAACATGTTTGAGTAACTATTTATTATTAGTTTGCCTACATTTCCAAAGCTCAAAATGTTCAGGAAGCAGTAGTTTTCATGTTACTACCGATTGACAGTTCCAGGTCTGATCCAAACGATTCTAGTGAAGGTGTATGGAGTTTAAAAACACAGTGGAGAACTCCCTGTATTACAACATGACATCACAAGGTGGAACAGAAAGTTTTCTGTTTGAGAGAAGCACTCTTCCTCTCTAAATATGCAGGTTTGTGTGTTAAACTTGTGTGAATGAAACAAAACACAACTCCAGGTCTGTTTGTGATGAGGAAACATTGTAAAATAGGCCAGAAAATAGTGTAATATGGGCCCTTTAATACAGTTGGGGGAAGTTATAATTCATGTTGGCAAAGAACAATGTCATCAACAGGGAAAACTGGCTCTTGTCCCCATCTGAGATTATGACTTCATGCATGCACTATAATCAGTGGTGGAATGTATCAGTGTTAAAGTAGTAAAGTACTAGTCAGGCTGGTGCCACATAAGGCCTCCGTTCAATTTAATTTCTCTCCAGTGACTAGGTCAGGAATTGGAATACACTAGACGGTTTGCAAGAACCCCGGAAATTGTAGACTGCGCACCGACCAATCAGTGAAGAGCTGTGTGAAGACAAAACATGGATGTAGACGAAGACATACATTCTGTGTTGACAACAGTTCCCAAGATCGAGGATTTAAAACCGAAACAAAGAGAATGTTTGGTGAATTTTATCAAGAGGAAAGACATTATTGCCCTTCTTCCTACAGGATTTGGCGCATTGCATACATCACGACCAAATAGCAGCGATTGATTAAATAAAAAAGTACCCGCCTAGCATCGAGCGACTGAATCCTAATGCTGCGAGGTCAAACGGTTTCCACAAAGTGAAACCAGCTGATGAATCAGGCTAGTCAAGTACTGTACTTAAGTCAAAGTTTAAGGTATCTATGCTTTATTTAAATACATTTTCAAGTGAATAATTTTTACTTTTACTTCACTATATTTGAGAGAAAGTATCAGTACTTTCTACTCCACTACATTTTTGATTAGTACTAAAAAATAGTTAAAAAAAAAATTGTTTGAGCAAAAAAAACAAAACAAAACCTGAGTCAGTTGTTTCTTTTTTTTTTAAACAAATTCAGCGCAAATCTGTATCAAAATCACTACGTTTGAAGTGTTTCTATTCAAACGCAAAATACTTTTAACTTTTACTCTTTAGGTACATTTTAAACGGGTACTTAAGTAGATTTTTTTCATGTGATATTTTTACTTTTACTTCAGTATTTTTTGCTTGAGTATCTGTACGTTTACTTAGCTAACAAAACTGAGTACTTCATCCACCACTGACTATACTTTATGACATCATGTTCTATCATTTGAATACAAGTATTATGAAAAAAACAAAAAGCAAAGGTCATATACCGATGGTTATCTTGATTTTAACAACTACGCAACTAATTTGAATAACCTACTTTGCATTTCTTTTCTACTGTCGCAGTATGAGCATTTATCTTTTCATACGAGCTTGTGAGTTTCCAAATACATTCAAATATCTGTGTATGTTTAACCAAATCATGTTTATGGACTCACATTTGCTGCTGCCTTGGTGATGAGGGCCAGTTCTGTTGGCTGGTAGACCGAAGCACGCAGCTGTCCGGTGTAGCCGCTATAGGGAGACACCGGTTTGCCTAAAAAAGAAAGACAAGAAAATAGTTAACAGAAAATGGTTGAAAATGCAATTAATCCGCATTATAATATTGTTTTGTTGTATGAAAACAAACGTTATTCATTCAGGAACGTCACTTTTGGATTAAAGGTGCTCCGTGTAACTTTTGTGGTGGATGGTTTGCCACTTGCTTGTTTCCATGGAGATGATAGTGCTTTGCCGTGAATGTTCCATAGTATGACATTAAACTTTAATCTTACATTTAATACAGTTACAGGTGTTTTTATTGCTTACAAGTTCAATGAAAAACATGTATTCAAACTGTAAGCAATGTAACGTCTCCACAGATCTGACCCGTAACGTGACCTGGTGGACTTGCTTGTCTGTTGTAGAAATAGACATGTTTAATGTAATACTGTGAAACATGTCAAGCAAAGCAAAATCATTTCCATGGCAACAGGTAGGTGATGTACTTTCACAAAAAAAAGTTGAAGTGGGTACAAAGATTGAGGTGGGTACAAAGATTGAGGTGGGTACAAAGGACTGTGCTTGTTTGTAATCTGGAACAGTATCTGATAAAATCCAAGGAGAAATTTTTACTTTAAACCAAACTAAGCAGTGACATTTTGCTAAAAGGTTTGCATGAGAAATTATTAAATGTTATATATTATGCAAAAATGACTCTTGTGAGCTTTAAGCCATGTGAAAATGTTGTTATCCCCTCAAAAACAGACCTGGAATTTTACAATGTTTGAGTAATCCTGGTCTACTAGTCTGTCTACACCTCCAAACTCAAAATGCTCTGTTACACCCATAGACCGTATATATGAGTAACTATATAACTAACGCTGTAGCCGCCTCATGCCAAATAGGAAGTTCTCCAGGAGGCTCTTCTGGCTCCTTCTGACCCTGGCTCCAATGGACTTACATTAGGATCTTGTCACCCCTCTCTCTGTACCTGCTGCAGTGAGCCTCGTCATTTTGGTCTTAAAATATTCGTATTAATCCGCTCTACATGATCCTGAAATTTTTTTTTTTCGCCATTTTGTCCATCAAAAAGAATCCTATTCATAACATAAAGCCTGGCTCCAGATTCGCTCCTGTAAACGTGAGCATCATGAGCCTCATTTGAATGACGCTGAACGCTGTGGGTGACGTCACACTCGCTTAGTCCATTTCTTTTATACAGTCTATGGATCCATAATGAAGCAGTAGTTTTCAAGTTAACAGCCACCTTTGCCTTTTGTTCATAAGAAAATGGCAATTCCAGGGCTGAAATAATTCAAATGATTCTAGAGAATGTGTATAGAGTTTAAAAACACAGTGGAGTACTTCCTTACCACATGACATCACCAGGTGGAACAGAGTGTTTTCAGTTTGAGAGAAGAACACAACCTAAATATGCAGGATTTATTGTGTTAAACATGTGAGAACGAAACAAAACACAACTCCAGGTCTGTTTATGATGCAGAAACAACATTATAACATAGAATACGAGCCCTTTAAATAAAACATAATAGTCAGTAGTGGGTTTAGTTCAGATATAGTCCTGTTGAGTCCTTTTATATTACAAATGTATAAAAAGACTTGGGTATTTACATCAATGAATTATGGTGTATTTTTTTTCAGTCACTCAATATGAAATCTCATGCTCATTTAAGGAGCCCTCTTCACTAAAAATAGAAGCTTTATTGATCCAGCTGTAACTTGAAGTCTGTTGTGTAAATACAGTGCACTTAAGCCTCGCGCTGTGGTCAGCTCTCACTGGAGTGGTTATGGGTGAATGGTGGGTTGGAAAGACAAGAGGTTTTGTATTTTTGTATTTTGTATACAGAGGTTCCAGTGCTATGGTGTATTAGGGCCACATAGAGACAAAGATGAAGAAATTTCAGAATGGATTTTTGAGTTTAAAGGTCTATATTCCACAAAATTGACTCTTGAGAAATGTTTGTGTTGTTATAATGTTGTTACCTCTTCAAAAACAGACCTGGAGTTGTTTTGTTTCATTCACACATGTTTGAGTAACCCTTATTAGTCTATTATATTAGTATATCTGCATCTCCAAAGCTTTGAATGCTCTGTTCCACCTTGTGATGTCATGACGTGTTAGATTTCAAGTTAACAGCTACCTTTTACGTTTTGTTTTAGTAGCAATTGGCGATTACAGCGTTGAAATTACCCAAATGATTCTAGTGAAGGTCTATGGAGTTTGGAAATACAGTAGAGCACTTCCTGTATTACTACACGACATCACAAGGTGGAAGAGAGTTTTTTTTCTGTTTGAGAGAAGACCTCACAAATATGCAGATTTGTGTTAAACATATGAGAACGAAACAAAACACAACTCCAGGTATGTTTGTGATGAGGAAACGACATTGTAACAGATCAGAAACATAATACGGACCTTTAAATTCCCAATTGCGACTCAGACGTGTCAATTACCATGGAGAAATGAAGAGTATTTTAAGATTAAGGTCATTTCTGAGTTCAGTTTGTGTAGCAGTTATAACTTTTAGATGACAACAAATTCAGGATATCTACGTAACTAGGTAGCTATTACAACTACAGTAGCAAATTTAACTCTCAAAAACAACAATAAATTTAACAACATCCAAGATTTTATAGAGGCTAACAAAATTGTGAATATACTACTTTTTCCATTTAAAATGCCTTAACTTTGATCATAACACAAAGAACCAAGATTGAACCAACAGTGTTTTTTCATGTATTCTGCACTGAAACAGAGCAAAGGATCATGGTCTATGTAGTTTCTTCTGTTTATTTATTGTTGGTTTGATTGCATTAGGTCTAAATATTTTTAACCTTATTACTACTGAAAAAAATGCAGTACTTGAGTCTAACTGTCCCGCCCACGCCTGCCGTCTCTGTCTCTGTTGTGCTCCCCTCGTTAGTGTCACCGAGCTAACGAGCACCAGGAGCATCACTCATAGTCTGTTTGCAACTGTCTCCGTGGCAACAGGCGTGGCCACCGTCCCCATAGAAACAGGGAAGTTAAAATGAAACGGGGTCATTAATCTAAATTTACTTGAATGAATTTGTAGTTGTAGAGATAAAATACTTTGTTTTGTATTGTATATTACATAAAATTGACTCTTATGTTATATGTTTTTACCTCATTAGAAACGTGGCTAGAGTTTCATGTTTTGCGTTGTGTTTTGTTTCATTCACACATGCTTGAGTAACCCTTGAGTAACCTATTAATCTGTCTACATCACCCAAAATGCTCTGTCCCACCTTGTGATGTCATGAAGCGGTAGTTTTCAAGTTAACAGCTACATTTGACCTTTAGTACATTAGAAACTGGTAATTCCTGAGCATTTTATTGTCACTATACACATGCACAATGAGATTAAATGCAACTCATTCTCCAGTGCAGACATGTACGTTGGAAATTTACAAAAAGAATAGAATAAAAAAATACCGTATTTTCCTCACTATAGGGCGCTCTGGATTATAATGCGTACTGTCCTTGAATGGTCTATTTTTGAACTTTTTTCACAAATAAAACGCACTGGACTTTAAACGAAACACAACAGTTGGATGGGTCAGTCAGACTTTGTTTGTCGCGTTCACGGTGACTCTGGGCTTTGTTCAGTTGTGGCGTGTAGGGAGGGTGCTGTCTGGGACCGCTGGATTATTGGCGTGTTCGCGGTGACTCAGTTGTTCACTTGTGTCTAGAAGTGACACACTGCACTCGCTTTTTCGGTTTGTTCCTAGATTCGATTCCTCATCGACGTGGAGTGATGACTGTGTCTGCGGGTGTTTTTCGCTGTGCGGTCGCTGTCTGCTCCGTGTGTGTTTGCGTGTTCTGCGGGTGGTGCGGCTTTGTAGTTTACTGAAGTCATGCTGGGACACCCGAGTGGATTCGTGTATATGGTGCTTTGGATTGTGGGGCGCGCAGTCGTTCTTTGATGGGGTTGAAGACTTTTGAGTGTGCCCAATAGTGCAGAAAATATGGTAAGTAAGTAGCACTAGCGCAAGACATAAAAAAAATAATAGAGGGTGGTGGCGTGAGGTATGCAGTACTAATTATATACACAGAGTTCCTATATACAGGGTGATATTGCACATTATCTATACAAGTTATAGCACAATTATCTTGCTTGGTGTATATATTACAGTAGAGGTTTCCTGGGCTGGGACACTTAAGACTACAAAACTCAGTCAAGATATTGCACTGTATCATGATTGAAATGATTCTAGTGAAGGTGTATGAAGTTTAAAAACACAATAGAGCACTTCCTGTATTACCATGACATCACAAGGTGGAACAGAGAAGAACCAAGCCTAAATATGGCCCTATAATAGGTAGCTTCAGTAATTTCAATGGTTAAAAGTCCTCAAAATTTCACCTATATGCATTAAGCTGAAACCCATGCATAGCAATTTTACTTGTACTTCCAATTATGTATCTTACCCATTTTGTATGTTTTAAAAATGATTATACTCAAAATAATGTATACCCTATTTAGTAAAACCTTGGGGTATGAATCTTATGAACTTCCAGCGTCCCTTTTTAAAAATCGAAACTGTGTTGCTAAACTGAAGTCACTGTAAACATCTGTATTTTGTAACAGCAGCATTAAATTCTGCAGTGTCAACAATAGTCCACACACAAGACGCAGTGGCGGACATTTTGAGTCACTTACAAAAGCTGATGTGGCTTCAGGATCTAATTTCTTCATTACATTAGATGCTTTACATAACGGACAGATCGATACTTTAACATGGGCAGAATAATAGTAGATTCAGAGGTTTTCTATAAAGGCCATATGTATTTTCTTTGTGTGTATGATGCTAAACCCAAGGGCAAACATACAAACAAATACAAAATACAAATTTTTCTTTCTTTCTGAAATGCATGGTAAATGTGGATATCTTTCTGTTTTTGGGGGTTGAACTAGAACTTAAAAATTACCTGTTTTTTGATACCTATTGCTGTGTTAATATCGTATTTTTTCTTTTTTATAAGGTTGATGTCTTTTGTGGATTGTCCCTGATCACATAAATAAATTCAAATACAGAATCTGAAAAAAAAAATCTGATTCTGTACCAAATTATTTCGATTCTAGTAGTACCTTAGTAGTACCTGTTACTGCACTTGAACTTGTGTGTTGTAACACTGGAATTTACCCATTGTGGGACAAATTAATTATTATATCCTGATCCTGTATAACTTGGTCATTTATATCTCAGTATTCTCTCAAATCCTAATACTACTATATGTTTTTTAAATATGCACTTTGAAATAATTCTTGATGCTAAAAAGATAAGTCTTGATTCTAATGGCAACCACAATACTTTTTGAAATTTATAGTTGATATAGTTTGCTCAGCTTTTAACCTAAGTCCATCTTAAAATGCCAAAACTAGAACTGTCTTCCTTTGTCTCACTCGTTTACGTCACAAAATCTGAAGAGATTTGGAAACATGTGGATGATAACTTCCTTTGGGCTCTGAGAAAATCTAGGAAAACTGAGAAACTGACTCTTTCTTCATCTAGATGTCATTGTATTCTTTCTTTTATTCTTTGGCAGGTTGTGAAGAGCGCTGCTGCTGAATCCACGGTTTTATCAAATCTGTGTATCATTCGTTCATTCGTTTTTCAGTATAAAACAAAAAATAAGAAAACGAAAAAACAACTGTTTTCTTCATTATTTGTCTCCAAAACCAAAATGAAAAAACAGATAACGATTTGTTTTTCAGTTTTCGATTTTGTGTTTAAATGAAGAATGGAAAATAAGGATAACAGCCCGTTTCCCGTTTACGTGACTTCCGTGACTACAATGCCAGACATTTGCATCGCATACGGACTGAACCAAAAAATAATAAAAAATACGGACTGAACCAGAACTGATCCAGGTCCAGAACTAGAGCGGGGCCAGAGCGGACTCTGAGTTTTGACTCCGAGCCTCAGCTTCGAGCTCCAGCCCACCTGTGGACTCTGAACCTCTAGTCTGGTCTCGGTCTGGTCCTGGTCTGGTCCTGGACCTGGATCAGTCCTGGTTCAGACCGTATGCAGCGCAAAAGTTCGGCATTGCAGTCACTGAAGTCACATATCTGTTTTTTCCATTCTTCATTTAAACACAAAATCGAAAACTGAAAAAACTAATCATTATCTGTTTTTTCATTTATGTTTTGGAGACAAATAATGAATATGTTTTTTTTTCGTTTTCTGATTTTTGGTTTTATATTGAAAAACAAATGAATGAATGATATACGGATTTTCTCACATGCCCAGTGTCGGTAACTACACAGGAAATCGTCTTCTGCATATTTCCAACGTCTTCTGGTATGCATGAATAGAGGTTAGTGACCCATTAAAACCACTACCTGTGTAACATACCATGACTGGGTTCGTCCATGGAGAAGGCCTTGTTCTCCATAAACATATTCTGAGAGCTCTGTTCCTTCAGGATGGTCTCGTAGCCCACTGCTCTGTTCTGATACGTGTCCTGTGCAATTCCTTGCTCCTCCTCCTCTTCACCGGTCAAACAGCAGATTTCAGGGATGGTATGAACTATCAAAAACACCCACGCATTCGCCACTAGCGCTATGGCCAAGGTTGGATCGTCCCAAGTTGGTCCCCCTGTTCTTTCATTGCCGAAAACGTACATCACAATCCACGCAATCCAAATGAAGATTGACAGCAGGGTCGCAATCACGATACTCGCCCCTTCCACCTTCCATTGTTTGTGTTTCCCACACATGATCACCAAACTTGCCACGAAAGATGCCAAAATCAGCGTCATAACATAAATCAAGGCCATCACAAAATCTTGGTTCGCAATGTTGCATGGAGTCGGAGTTGCCGTCACAGTTTGCGTTATGTTTAGCAGCACAAATGGGTTACGGACGATTGTGATGATTAGCCATTCTGTGTTGATGATAACTTCGACTAACCATAGACCCAGCATACCCAGACATAGCACCCAAGATGGCGGAGCAGAATTGCGTCGTACAAGGAAATTCAACCTCACGGACTGCATTAGCAAGCAAGCGAAGCATCCAGCGAAAAGCACGCCGAATAGAAACCTCCTTGACGCACAAGTCGCAAAATCTTTCCCGACGATGAAAGCGAAAGTCAGGCAAAATAGTCCACATGTTGAGATCAAAAAGAAGGCGTGGAGAGCTATGGAGCTACGTCGGTTTTTGTCTTGGGTAAAAGGGATGCTAGCGAGGAGTGATATGAATAAAACGAAAGAGAAAACGATGCCAGCTGCCGCAAACGCTTCAAGCACAATGCCCCAGACTGCGTTCAAATCACACAGATAGTAGTAGAGAGAGTCCACGTTGGAGCCACAGCCACGAGGGACAGAGGAGTTGGTCGACATGGTTCAGATGGATGGATGGATGGATGGAGGTAGACCTGGAGAATAGAGAAAAAAAAAAAAAGGTTGAGAATGTATATTTTCGGTTGGGCTTTTGGGTTTCAATTGACACCAAATTTATTCAAGTGGTTTAAAGTGACTATATTACTCTTTTTTCTGATCTATAATGTTGTTTCCTCATCAAAAACATACCTGGAGTTGTGTTTTGTTTCATTCACTAAAGTTTAACTCCTGCGTATTTGTATTTTTAAGCTCCTTACACCTTCACTAGGATTATTTCAGCCATGGAATTGCTAATCTCTACTAAACCAAAGGTAAAAGGTGCATGTTAACTTGAAAACTACCACTACATGACATCACAAGGTGGAATGGAGCACTTTGAGCTTTTTAGATGTACAACATGGCCTAAAGCAAGTCAATTTTTCGTAATATAGCACCTTTAATAAAGCGTGAACAAAGACTAAAATGAATTGTATGTAGCCTCCCTGCGCTCTTACAGTTTGAAAAAAAGGTGTTTCAATCACAGCTCAACCTGAGTTGCCAGAACCTAAAACTGCAAATAATATGCACATACTCCTTTTTCTCAATATGGACAATAGGGGTGTGCAAAAACAATGAAATATCGATATATCGTATCGTTTAATGTCATGATACAGTATCGATATCGTGGGCTGCTGTATTGATATATCGCCAAGAGTATTTTTTGGTATATTTTACTACATTGTTTTGTTACAGTGCTACAGTTTTGTTCTTTGTTTAGTGGAAGGAAACTCATTTCATGACACATTTGACATTTTCACTGTTTTGAGGATTAAAATGGGCGTGTTTCATATTCCATTTGCACGAGAAGTGGTTTAACAAAGACTTTTAGTATCACAGCCGTGATCTAGCCTTTATATTTTATTGAACCGTATCGATTTGAAATATATCATATCGGATCGAAAGTGCACTGTATCGAGTTATGTATCATATTGGCAACTTCTTAATGATGCCCAGCCCTAATGGACAATATGGACAGACTATGCCTCATGTGAAAACTCAGAACCTCCAGAATTCACCCACTGAACTGCAGAGGCTGCACTAGCACTGATAATGATTGTCTGCGGATTCTGGGGTTTAGGTAGTCACCGTTCAGATCAGAGAAAGGCATTTTAAGTTTAAACCAACTTGATTTTAGCAGTGAAACTGGCAACCTTAATGAGAGACTCATTCTGCTTTTTGATTAACTAGTTGTCTTGAGAACCAAAACACCAAATCAATTAGACATTATGCCCAATGTTTTTGTGATCAAGAATAAATCAACATTAGAATTCTTACAAGTTAAATCCATGTTTGATTTGAACATGTCTACCTGGTATCTGGGATACTGGCAGGTCACGTTTATGAAATTTTTTAAATCTAAATCTGTCATGGTTTATGGTTTAAATCATAATGAACAAGTAGTTTATTAAGAATGACTCAGGCTTAGTAACTCTAATTCCTTGCAGCTCCTTCAGGCTTAATAAAATAAACTTCCTGACTAATTAAGTCTTAGTCATGCTCACATAATTGTCAGTCACAAATGTCAGCTTTAGAATTCTATGCCAGGTTTGTCATTTAATGTCCAGTATATTACATTATATATTGTGTTCCTGACAATACAAACATGGGAGGCGGCCAAACTCTTCTATAATGTGTCAAATAACATTCATTGTTTCCATGACGAACCCAAGGACCGTCAGGCTGGATGAGTGTGTGTGGAGTATCAAAGGAAAACGCCAATGTCAAACAAAGATCGTCAATGAGATGGTTAAAATGCCACAGAGTCTGAGGTAACAAGATAACTGCCTAACCCACACCGATAAGATTGTCTGAGATGGGCTCGCGGGATCCTAATGGTTTAAGCTGGCGATCGGCACACACACTTATCTTGATGAGACGGGGAAAATTAGGAAGGGTCACTTAAAGGTGCTCTGTGTAGCTTTTCAGGTGGTCTACAATTACCTGTGCCCATGGAGATGTTAATGCGTTGTCTGGAATATTCCTCGACAGACCTTTCTATCATGGATTTAGACAATTGCAAGTGCATTCTTTCGATGGGAGGAGATGCTTCTTTTATAATTTGATATAACAGTGTGAGTCATTTATGAGTTTAAGAGACAGTTAACTCAATGACAATGCAACTTCCGACAGTGTATTTTTAGTAATTTTGTGATTTCCAAACACATTTTTTATCATTTCTAATCAGCTTGGGTCTTTTGAAGGGTCTATGTTATGTTATAATATTTTTTCCTCATCACAAACAGACCTGGAGTTGTGTTTTGTTTCATTCACACATGTTTAACACACAAGTCCTGAATATTTAGGCGAGTTCTTCTCTTAGAAAACACTCTGTTCCACCTTGTGATGTCATGTGGTAATACAGGAGAGCTTTGTTTTTAAATTCCATGCACCTTCACTAGAATAATTTGGATAATTACAGCCCTAGAATTGCCGATCTGTGCAAAACAAAAGGTAAAAGGTAGATCTTAACTTGAAAACTACCACTACTTGACATTATATAGTGCATTTAAAGCTGTGTGAATGAAACAAAACACAACTCAAGGCAGCATTATAACATGCCTAAAAGCTCATAAAAAAAAAAAAAGTGTTCTGTAGGACATTTAATAAAAAGGTCCATAGGTAATTCTTTGTCAGTGAAAAGCTTCAAACATTGAATCCAAAAATGTGACTATTGTTTTCTAGTATGAACGCGCCCTTTTATATTGTCAAGATCTATGTAGTTACTCCTATATAAAAACCCTCAGAGCCCAAACCCACATGTCTGAGAGAATGAGGGGGACATGTTAAAAGTAGATCTGAAAAATATTAACTAGGAGTTTACTTATTACTCGAGGGTTTGGACATACCTCAACATTTTTACTCTTTAGACAGAGGCGCCAGAGAACACTGGAGCAAATCAAATATGTATTCATTTACTGTAGTAATAGAATTTATTTCCTGTGTATTACAATGTGCTTTGTTTTCTATTAAGCAACTTGTTTTTTTAGTACTACTACTATTAATACTGCTGCTGCTACTGCTACTGCTACTGTTACTACTAATACTAATACTAATACTAATACTAATACTGCTAATACTACTAATACTGCTACTGCCACTGCCACTACTACTTCTTCTACTTCTGCTAATACTACTAATACTTCTACTACTACTACTGCCACTAATACTACTACTTCTACTAATACTACTACTACTACTGACACTACTACTACTGCTGCTACTACTACTACTACTACTACTACTACTACTACTACTACTACTACTTCTACTTCTACTTCTACTTCTACTTCCACTACTGCCACTAATACTACTACTACTACTGACACTACTACTACTACTACTACTACTACTACTACTACTACTACTACTACTACTACTACTACTACTTCTACTTCTACTTCCACTACTGCCACTACTGCCACTAATACTACTACTGCTACAACTATTACTATTACTACTACTTCTATTACTATTACTACTACTACTACTTAACTAACAGAGTGTTCTTTGGCCTGCATTATATAAATATTTCCCAAAATTCAATGCATGATATGTTTACCAGTACCACACTACTACAATTGCTCTAACTACTACTACTAATACTTCTACTACTACTACTGCCACTAATACTACTACTGCTACAATTATTACTACTATTACTATTACTACTACTTCTACTAATACTACCACTACCACTACAATTGCTCTAACTACTACTACTACTACTACTACTACTACTACTATTACTTCTACTGCTTTACTAGCATATGGTTCCTTGGCCTACATTATATAAATCTTTCCCAAAATTCAAAATGTACCATACTACAAAAACAATAACAACTGCTACTACTACTGTACTACTATTGCTACTACTACTGCTATTGATACTACTACTACCACTACTACCTTTACCATTACTACCCCTACTACTATTACTACTATTTTACTAGCATCCTGTTCCTTGTCCTGCATCATCTAAATTTTTGACAAAATTCAATACATGATATGTTTACCATGGGCCTGACCCAAAACTACTCCTGGATTAAAATAATGGGTGTTGACTATTTATGGCGCTCATTACTTGTGGTTAATATCTCCTCCCTTTATTCTTTATTCTTCATTCATCCTTCTAATTAATGTGTTTTCTTTGTCACATTTACTTTACTGGGAGTGGATCCACTGACATCTATAGGTGCTGTTGGATTATGTGAGTCAGTATAAAGAAACACCACAATGTCTCACACTGATAATTTTGTTATGTGGTCATTAAGGTGTGTGCTTCATAGTCACATTTCTATGACAACAACAACGAAACCAAGATATGAAATGACATGCTTGTTTGTTCTGTGTCATTAACGGTCCTTTATTACGCAAAATTGACTCTTGTGTGCTGTAAGCCTTGTTATAATGTAGTTATGTCATCAAAAACAGACCTGGAGTTGTGTTTTGTTTCTATTTGTTTCTATCTACATCTCCAAAAATGGTCTGTTCCACCCTGTGATGTCATGAAGTTGTAGTTTTCAAGTTAACAGCTACATTTTACCTTTAGTTTAATAGAGATTGCCAATTCCAGGGCTGAAATCATCCAAATACTTCTTTTGAAAGTGTGTGGAGTTTAAAAACACAGTGGAGCACTTCCTGTATTACCATATGACATCACAAGGTGCAAGGGTTGAGAGAAGAACTCAGCCTAAATATGCAGGGTTTTTGTGTTAAACATGTGTGGATGAAACAAAACACAACTCCAGGTACATATGTTTGTGATGAGGAAACAACATCATAACATGGATCAGAAAATAGAGTAAATATGGGCCCTTTAAGAAAAGACTGAAGAAATAATATAATCAGACAATTTGATCATTCTACCTAAATTATATTACATTTATGGATTTGAACTGCATGGTATTAGTGATTTTTTTGTCTCTAATTAGACATAAATTAATGTACAATAACAAAAATAAAGTTGTTTGTAATTATTTGTCATGTTTTTACTCTATGACATTATTCAATTTGACGTTATAGTATTCAGAAACACTACCCTGATTGGACCATGTATCAGTTACAAAATACATTTTAATGCAGGTTTCAGTAGTCTTTAACTAAGTACATTTTCAAAGTATTCTTTCCATCACTGCCAATATATTATACAGTATAAAAGTCACTGAGGTTTGCTCGTAAGTGTCTTGCCTGAGGACACAACAGTCTTATGTGCCTTATGCTGGTGGCAGGAATCCAACTTGCCGCTTTCTATATTTAGTTGAAGTAGCTATAGTAGCAACAGCTGTAGCAACAGAAGCTTAGTGAATTGTGCTTTCCTTTACTTTTACAAATATAACTTAACTAAGTTTGGAGGAGAGTTCACCACCTGCTTGTATCCATGGTAATGTTATTGCGCGATGTTCTTCAGCAGGAGTGTCGAACTCTAAATTACAGAGGGATGAATTGAAAAACTGGGCCAAATTAAATATTTATTGAAAAATTTCAACAACATCTGCATGCTTTCTCTTCTTTCGAGATACGTAATGTTAAATCTTTTCTTATTAAAATAAATGTTTAATAATAGTTTTGCTTAAACACTGAATCCAGAACAAGCAGAATATAAAATAATAACAACATTTTAAATAAATAATGTCTCTATAGTCTATCTGTAGCCGGTGGGCAGCTCTAATACATATTTACTATGATCTATGACCTGTTCTACAGTATGGCGTCACTTATCTTTCTCCATGGGGACCAGCAGATAGCACCGGGCCAAGTTACAGATCAAGTCTACGGAGAGGCAAGCCCGCTCACTGTAAGAATGTAGTTGCGTGTTTTCCAAAGATATTTGAGAGCAGTAAATACACCTTTATGGATATGTTTAAGTTAATGCTTTAATGTGGAACATTCCAGGCAAAGCAGTAACATGAATGTGGAAACAAGCAAGATGACGGATACTCCACCAGAAAAGTCACACAATGCACCTTTAAGGACACAGATTTTAGTAGTATTGGGATTAAATTTTTCATAGTTAACGTGTACCACAACAAAGCAAAAGTACTTTATTATGAAGTAACAGTGCATATTGTGTGTACTGCCCTCTCTGCCAACTGATCTGTCTTTTCTCTTCCCTGTATCTGTAACACAGCTCTGACAGTCAATGAGAATGTATTGATTTGTCCATTCAGTGTAATTTAATACAAAAGAGAGAGACTAGTGCGATGGTTATTCATAACTTGAACTGCTTAAAAACCTTAGCAACTGTGTCATGTAGCATTGATTTAAAGTAACACCATTATACACAGTCAATATTTGTCCAGTCAATCATTAACCGTGCAAAAAGTCCAATAGGAGACTGTATTGTAGGAAGGTTTTGCATAAGGAAACATACTGACTATTAATAGGACAGAAATAAACTTTATAACCTGAAAGTCCCAGTATGCCATTTAAAAGCGCTTTGTGTAACTTTTCTGGTGGAGGGTCTGTCAAATGCTTTTCTCTGTTGAGATGTTATTGCTTTGTCTGGAATGTTCCACAGTATAACATTAAACCTTTCTATCATCATGGAGACCAAACCAGGCAATTACAGGTCAGATTTGTGGAGAGGCGACTCTGCTCACAAATTAATAAATGTAAAGTAGAGCTGTTTAATGTCATGCTGTGGAACATTCTAGGACATATCCATAGAAACAAGCACCAGAAAAGTTACACAATGCAGCTTTAATACAGTATTATAAGACTTGTAATAATTGTCAAAAAGCAATATCAGAAAATAGTTAAACCTGAAACTATTGAAACTGCATATTAGGTGGAAAACTCATTCATAGAGAAAAAAATTCACATGCATATAATATTTCATGAATAGAAAGTTTTTTGAAGGTCTTATATTACACAAAACTGACTTTTATGATCTTTAAGCCATGTTATAACGTTACCTCCTCAAGAACATGAACCTGGTGTTGTGTTTTGTTTCATTCACATGTTTGAGTAACACTTTATTATTTGTCCATCTACATCTCCAAAGTTCTGCTCTGGATGCTCTGTTCCACCTTCTGATGTCATGAAGCGATAGTTTTCAAGTTAACAGCTACACTTTTACATTTTGTTCAGAAGAGATTGGTAATTTTAGGGCAGAAATCATCCAAATATACTGAATGTGTATGGAGTTTAAAAACACAGTGGAGCACCTCCTGTATAACCATCACAAGTTGGAACAGAGTGTTTTCAGTTTGCGAGAAAAACTCCTAAATGCCTGAATGTGCAGGGTTTGTGTGTTAAACATGTGTGAATGAAAAAAAACCACAACTCTAGGCATGATTGTGATGAGGAAACAACATTATAACATAGATCAGAAAACAGTGTAATATGGGCCCTTTAATCTATATCCGAACTATAATTAGACCACATGGCAAGTAGCAAAACTACTACACTATTATTTTTTCCATTGAAGATTACATTCATTTACATTTCAGCACAGTGTGGTTTTGTTATCTCTATGATATCCAAATAAGTATTGAGTCTTTTCTGGCCAAGTTTGCAAACATGACGACATGATGCCGCTATACTGGTCCAGCTATTTTGAATATCTGCCACAGGTGCAACTATGTGACCATAAAGTGTTATATAATTCTTTATTGTAGTCTCTAACATTTCAGGGTTGAATATCTTCCACTATTAGACCTCCATAATAAGTTTACCTCAATATGCTGAAGTTAAATATTCTATCTTACACAAAATGCATTCTCGTGAGGTTTAAGCCATGTTATAATGTTCTTACCTCCTCAAAATTATACCCGGAGTTGTGTTTTGTTTCACTCACATGTGCTTTAAATCCCCAAACCTCAAAATGCTCTGTTCCACCTTGTGATGTCATATAGAGGTAGAAATAACATCTAACTTTTACTTTATGTTGAGTAGAAATCGGCAATTCCAGGTGCTGAAATTATCCAAATGATGAAGGTGAAGGTGTATGGAGTTTAAAACCACAGTGGAGCACTTCCTCTATCCTGTTTGTTTTCAGTTTGAGAGAAGAGCTCAGCCTAAATATGCAAGGTTTGTGTGTTAAACGTGTTAGAATGAAACAAAACACAACTCCAGGTCTGTTTGTGATGAGGAAATAACATTATAACACGTAATATGGCCCCTTTAACATAACGTAGCTTATTTCAGTTTTCAACAAAGACAAAACACTAAACAGACCTACGTTAGTAAATTAGCCTCTTTATTTTACCACTTTTAATGGTCAGATATTGATATAGGCTAATTAAAAACAACTACAAAACTAAAAGATTAGAAAACACTCTACACTAATTAGGCTTATTACTCTTGGTGTTTTGAGCATCCTCTCTCTCTCTCTCTCTCTTTTTTTTTTTTTTTAAACCAAAACAAGATGCGTAAAAAAGACAAAACTACGGACCAAACTGCACATGCAAACCATACAATGAATAAGAAAGGTTTATTTAAATGATTTGTATTTGTATAAGTGTAAAAAAAAGTGTGCGTAAAAACACTGCGTGCTTTCTTACCTGGAGGTTGTTGCCCGTTTCCCGATAAATTCACCTGCTCCGGATCAAAACACCACCATCCGAGCGCGAAAGAAGTTTAAATACACTAAAATTATCACTAAACTCGACTTTGCTGCTTTTAAATGAGTTATAAAGACAATCACAACAAAAGCCTGATCATGTTTTGCCCAAATTAGAGCCCGGAGATCCGTCTGAACGCGCTCGTGTCTTTCTCACAGCTGCGTTTCTTTATGGGACCCGACAAAAACCTGCGTCTAAATCTGAACTCATCCAGGGGCGTAGCTAAAGGGGAGTGTGCGCGGGCCCTGGATGAGTGCGCGAGAAAAATCACACGTAAACACAAGTATTAGTCATAGTAATATTAGCAACAGTTAGTATCTTTATTAGTATTACTTGTATTTGTTAGTTGTGGCAGTAATAGGTTAGTAATTATAGTAATAATAGTAATAATTGTACTTGTATTAGTATTATTGTATTAGTATTAGTATTAGTATTCGTATTCGTATTAGTATTAATATTAGTATTAGTATTAGTATTAATATTAGTATTAGTATTAGTAACCTGGTATTAATGGTGGTAATTTTGAGCATTGCTGTGCCACTTTTTTTGTAGTAGACCTATTTTATCTTACATAGTAGTATTAGCAGCAGTTAGTATCATTAGTATTATTTGTATTTGCGTTATTAGTAGTATTAGTAATTGTAGTAGTAATACTAGTACTTACTTACTAGTAATAGGTTAGTAGTACTAGTAGTAATTGTACTTGTACTTGTATTTGTATTTGTATTTGTATTAGTATTAGTAACCTGGTAGTATTACTTGTATTTACGGTATTAGTAGTATTAGTAGTTGTACTAGTAATACTAGTACTTACTTACTAGTAATAGGTTAGTAGTACTAGTAATAATTGTACTTGTATTTGTATTTGTATTTGTATTTGTGTTTGTATTTGTATTTGTATTTGTAGCCTGGTAGTAATGGTAGTAGTTTCAAACATTGCTGTGTCACTTTTTTTTAATAGTAGGCCTATTATATTTTACATAGTAGTATTAGCAGCAGTTAGTATCATTATTATTATTTGTATTTGTGGTATTAGTAGTATTAGTAGTTGTAGTAGTAATAAGTTAGTAGCAATAGTAGTAATTGTACTTGTATTAATATTAGTATTAGTATTAGTATTAGTATTAGTAACCTGGTAGTAATGGTACTCGTAGGCTATGTAGGCAAGTATTTGTAGTAGTAGTGGTAGTAATGGTTGTAGTTTTGGGCCTCGCTGTGTCACTTTTTTTTTTGTAGTAGGCCTATTATATTTTACGTAGTAGTATTAGCAGCAGTTAGTATCATTAGTGTTACCTGTATTTGTGGTCGTAGTAGTACTAGTAGTAGTAGCAGTAGTAGTAATAGTAGTAATGGTTCTTGTAGGCCAGTATTAGTAGCCTGGTAGTAATGGTAGTAGTTTTGAGCATTGTTGTGTCACTTTTTTTTTAGTAGGCCTATTTTATTTTACACTGTGTAACCAACTGCTCAAATAAAATAAAAATTAAATAAAAGCAGTAGTAGCCATAGTAATAGTAGTAGTAGTAATATTGGAGACTGAAGTAGTTTAAAGCTAGTAGTAGTAGCTGGAGTAGTATAACTATTGACTATAACATCCAAAATTTCTAATTTTAGCATTTATTTATCAACATTTTTAGTAGTCGTTGTTCTAGTAGTATTAGTAGGCTAGTAATGGTAGTAATGGTAGTAGTAGTTGTAGTAGTAGTAGTGTTACTTGTATTTGCAGTATTAGTGGTAAAAGAAGTAGTAGTAATAGGTTAGTAATAGTAGTAATGGTACTTGTAGGCTAGTACAGTAACCTAGTAGAAATGGTAGTAGTTATGAGCATTGCTGTGTCACTTTTTTTAGTATGCCTATTTTATTTTACACTGTGTAACAAATTGCTCAAATAAAATAAAAATGAAAATAAAATGAAAGAAATGGTAGCCGTAGTAGTAGTAGTAGTGGTTGTAATAGTAATAGTAGTAATAGTAATGACAGTAATAGTAGTGGTGATTGAAATAGTTCAAGGCTAGTAGTAGTGGAGAGTTAGAGTAGTACTACTATTGACTAAAACATCATAAATTGCTAATTTTACAATTTCTTCCTCAACCTTTTCAGTAGTAGTCATAGTACCTGTCGTCATATTAGTAATAGTAGGCTAGTAATATTAGTAGTAGCCAAGTATAGTTTTGGTACTAGCAGTAATATGCTAGTAGTAGTAGTAGTAGTGGTAGCAGTAGTAGTAGCAACAGTAGTAGTAGTAATAATAGTAGTAGTTGTAGTAGAAGTAGTCAGCTATAGGACTAGTTGCAGTTGTATTTTGTATGAATTTTGTGTCTTGGACATAAAACATCAAAAGGACTGTAATAAATAGCCTTTTTTGAAGTATTTTTACTGTATTATTTACCTTGAGGTAGATAAAACGCAATACACTGTAACTGACTGGTGGTTTACCATTGAATTTCAGAATTTTACTTGGTTTATAGCGCCCTCAACTGGTCACTGCAAGTACAACCTCCCTACTATATTGGAAGCGTGCTGAAAAGGAAACTTTGAATAGATATCCAGATATACCCAAGCTACAAACATTCATGGAAAAGTCAGTTAGGGCTACATAGAAAATTTAAAATGTTATTGATTTTAATGAAGAGTAATCGTTAGCCTAATTGCAATTTGTTCTATTACCTCTCAATACTGCTGCAATAAAATACTGTAAATATCTATGTTATATGCTATATCAATATAAATATATCAATAAACTATGCATAAATTATGACTTTTTTTTGGGTAGATTTTATGATGCAATGGCACATCTTTCCCAACAGAGGGTGCTATAGGACCACAACAAGAAGTACAGTAGTCTATTTTGTTTTGGTCAAGCCAGTGTGTCTTAATACAGTAAGTCAAAAGAAATGTTGATTTTTCATTCAGTTATGGGGTTGTTTGTCTTTTAATTTTATTTAATTTTTTCCACATCACAGTAAGCCTATTCTAAAAATTCTGCATTTCTGTCTTGTCTCATTTTTCTGTTCATATCATTGAACACAAGCAATCAGTCTTAACAAAATTACACATTATTATTTATTATTATTATATATATATATATTTTATATATATTATGAAATATATAAGGCATCAATTGAATTTTTCATAGTTTATGCATTAAAAGTCCTAGATTATACAAAATTAACTCTTGTGAGATTTAAGCCATGTAATAATTTTGTTACTCATTAAAAACTTTATTTCATTCACACATTCGAGTATTCCTTTATTATTAGTCTGTCTACACCTCCAAAGCTCAAAATGCTCTGTTCCATCTTGTGATGTCACTATAGTTAAGTTAGTTTAGTTAACATTTACCTTTTAACCTCAGTAGAGATGGTCAGTTCCAGGGCTGAATTAATGCAAATTATTCTTATGTATGTAGTTTAAAAACACAGTGGAGAGAAGAACATAACCTAGATATGCAGGATTTGTGTGTTAAACGTGTGAATGACACAAAACAAAACTCCAGGTCTGTTTTTGACGAAGATAAAACATGATAACAGATCAGAAAACAGCGTAATACGGGCACTTTAAAGACGTGTTTTACAGTTGTGAGTTGTTCCTAGTTAGCAGTGGCCAGACAGATATTTTTATGACTGAACACTCTTTGATATTACACACTTCCCATCTCATTAGTGTTACATATTTTTGTTGTCATGTGGCTGTGTCTTGGGTTTCCTTCGTCTTACATCATCTTTCTGTGACTCAAAAGTGACGAAAGGTGATGCAGATTCCCCTTGTACAGACTGCTGGAGTTTTCAGGTTTTACTATAGAATTACCTTGTTTTATCTGGCTGAAGTTTGGCTTTAGACTGAGCTGCCTTGGGCTATTTTGAAGAAGGAAAGTGATAAGGTTAAAATAGGGAGGACCGCTGCCAAAACGAGACATTTTGATGAAAACATGTCATGCAATAGAATAGATATTTTACAGGGAATTTCATAGATCTACAGTAACACAAAATCCAATTGATTCTTTACTAGTGTATATACTAATGCTACTACATACTTCTAGAATCCATGTATTATTCGTGCATTCATTTTTCAAAATAAAACCAAAAATAAGAAAACGAAAAAAAAAAAAACATTAACTAGTTTCTTCATTACTTCATTACCAAATCCAAAATGAAAAACAAGCAAACAAAAAAAAAAAAAACAGATAACGATTCTTTTTTTCAGTTTTCGATTTTGTGTTTAAATGAATAATGTAAAAAGCGGATAATGACTGTTTCTCGTTTCCAAAACTTAAACTGTGATGCCAGACTTTTTCACTGCATATGGAGTGAACCAGGACTAAAACAGGATTAAAACAGGACTAAACCAGGTCTAAACCAGGACTAAACCAGGTCTAAACCATGACTAAAACAGGTCTAAACCAGGACTAAAACAGGACTAAAACAGGTCTAAAACAGGACTAAAACAGGACTAAAACAGGACTAAACCAGGTCTAAACCAGGACTAAAACAGGACTAAACCAGGTCTAAACCAGGACTAAAACAGGACTAAAACAGGTCTAAACCAGGGCTGAAACAGGACTAAACCAGGTCTAAACCAGGACTAAAACAGGACTAAAACAGGACTAAACCAGGTCTAAACCAAGACTAAAACAGGACTAAACCAGGACTAAACCAGGTCTAAACCAGGACTAAAACAGGACTAAATCAAGACTAAGTACTGAGTGTCGGGACTGAGACCAGGACTGAGACCAGGATTGGACCAGACTGGGACTGAGGCCAGATTAGTCCTGTTTTAGTCCTGTTTTAGTCCTTAGTCGTTATCTGTTTTTTCCATTATTCATTTAAACACAAAATCGAAAACTGAAAAAACAAATCGTTATCTGTTTTTTTCATTTTGGTATGGGAGAAAAATAAAGAGAACTGTTTTCTTATTTTTGGTTTTATATTGAAAAACGAATGAAAGAATGATACACAGATTTTCTAGTCAGGGCATTTGACAGGGGGGACAAAGTGGTCTGTTGTCCCTGGGGCCCAGAATTGGACCCTATGCCTATTCATTTATATTAGAGAGGGGCCCATGTGTGGCTTCTTGCCCCGGGCCCCCAAATTTCTGTCGACGGGCCTGCTTCTAGTTGTACTCCTACAATTAAAACTACTATTACTACTTGTATTTC